TAGAATTGGCAAAACCAGTCATAAATTACTTTTCTGAATCAACCTGGAGAGTCTTATCTCTATTACATAGTTAACATACAGTGTTTAAATATATTTTTTTTAATCATGGGAATGAAGTGCTCAGAATTGTGTATTATAAGGCCTGAAGGTAGGGAGGCAAGTGAGGCTGTTTCTTCACAGAGAAGAAAGGACTCAGTGAGGGAGCATCAAGGTTGGCCAGAAGGCTCAGAACTGAGTGACTTTGAAGAAGGCAGTAGTACTGAAGAACCAGTCAGATGTAATTGGGAAGGAAAGCCCTCCCAGATGATTTGTGTATTCCCATGTAAATACCAAATGCATGTGCTAACTTATTGTATGAATTAGGTACTTGGCAGAGTAAACCACCTTGCATCATGAGCCAGGAATTGAAAGTGGGACACAGGAAGGGACCAAGGTCCCACAGTCCCCTTTGAGGTCATGCTTCTAATGACCTATTAATCCCTCCAAGATCTAACCTCCTCAAGGCTGCACCATTTTCCAATAGCACAACCCTGGGGAGCAAGCTTTTAAAATATGGACCTTTGGAAGACACTAAAGATCCAGAAAATAGCAGCTAGCTATTATTAAAAATTAAATTTTAGAAGTAATATATGATAAAAATTCCTTTAATCAAGGAAAAGTACTCATCTCTAATCTCCAAAAGGAAAACATTGTCATAAACATGACAGTATTTATAGTTGCTATTTTAGATAACAATAAAGGGTCTTTAATTGTACCTTTGTATGTCACTGTGTCAAAAGCTGTTAAAAATAAAAGTCACAATTTTGACTAACAACTAATGCTGAAGAAATGTTTGCTTAGTAAATTAAGGGGCAAATACCTGATTATCCTAAGAACATAGTTTATTCCTTTGAATATGTAAGGTTCTGTCATTTGTTAAAAGTTAATCAAGCTTTTCTGAGTTGCCTTAAGCATTGCTAATGTATCAAAAGTAAATTACTTTTAAAATGAAGATTGCTTAGGAACCTGGGCCTTACTTTGATTAGTTGGAAGAGTTGCCATTCAAATATTTTTTGGATTATATTCCTTTAAAACATTATCACTTAGTAAAGGTGTTGAATTTAGTGATTCAGAATAAGCCATTTATACACAGGGCTGGCATCTATAATTTAAGATGCTACTTATTAAATCTTTACTTTAAGATTTCCATTTATGAAATTTGTAATAGTGAACTCTTCTGGTTTTTATAATCTTGGTTTAAAAGTACCATTTACTCATCCCTCACAGTTTTGTGGTTCCTAAAACATGTTTAGGTATTCATTCATCTCATTAACCATGTTTGAGTATTGATGGACCTTTTGACTTTAGAGATGGTTTCTGCTAAAGAAATGTTTGGATTGTATCTAGCATTTTCTTTCTGCTCTCTTTTAATAAATGTGGAGGAAATTTCTATTAATTGCTTCAGCAAAAATGTAAAAATTTTCTCCAACTACTATGGGACAGGTAAAACTTTGCTTTTGATAATAAAGTTTCCATTTTTATATCACTTGTAAAATATTTCATAAGAGTGGTGATTATCTTGTTATTTTCTTAAATTGTGCTAAAGAAAAATTTGTTTTTGCAATATGTAGCAAATTAATGCATAATGTATTAATATTATCTAACTTTTCAAATTTAACCAAAATGCTAAATCTAATTTAGAAAAATCAGTGTCTCTTTCCATTTTAAGTTGCTGAATCATAGCCAAATGAAACATTGGTAGGTAGGTGTATTTTTTCAAGACACATCCTGTCAGTGGCCTTGGCATAAACTGGTATAATATATACAAAAAGAAGATTTTACAGTTTTTTTTATTGGTTGTTCAAAACATTACAAAACTCTTGACATATCATATTTCATACATTAGATTCAAGTGGGTTATGAACTCCCATTTTTACCCCAAATACAGATTGCAGAATCACATCGGTTACACATCCACATTTTTACATAATGCCCTATTAGTAACTGTTGTATTCTACTACCTTTCCTATCCTCTACTATTAATGATTAAAATGTTACAGTTTGAATACAAGGCTTCTTTTTTTGTTGATTTGTGTGCTGATATATCAGCACTGGGGGAAATTTATTTTTTCATGGTTAATAAATTCTGAAAGTAAACTTGCTATTCCTTACATAAAAATAACATTGAGATTCTTGAAAGGAAAATGCTATATAATCTGAAAATCATTTATTATCATTTCCTCTGAGAACCTGCACATATTTGAATATTCCCAGGAGAGACCTAGAAGAATCTTTCAGAGATTATAAAATTTAAATAAACTATCAGTATGCAGATATTTTTGCTTAGTTTGTTTATTCTCCTTATATAATGGTGACATTACATATTAGGTCCCAGTGCATTAAGGAACTTCATGAGTAAAATACTGATATTTTAGATTACATTTCACATTTTTGTACAGTATGATTTTTTTCCTGATACCTTCACTGCAAACTCCTACTAAGTCCTGCACATCTTATGGCAAAAGATATCATCTTGTGAAACTTTCTTCTCCAGAATTTAGTTCCAGAATTTCGCTTCAGATTTCCAGAGTTTATAGGTAAGACTTAAGGATAACTTTTCAAAACAGAGAAGAATCACCAAAGAGATGCTGTAAAAAGGCAGTGATTGTTCAGAAGAAGGAAAAGTTACTTTTTTCTATTAAAGAAAATTCAACACTTAGTGAGATAAATCATGTGTTCCATATGGAGCAGATTTATGCCTCCAGGGGGCAGTTCTAAATAATTTTTTCTGCAACAAGCAGTTGATAGGTCAAGTTTAGATAAGATCAGGTAAGGAGGGCATGCACTTCATAGCACATGGCTCTAATGATACCTTTTTCCTTCCTATTCATTAGTCACTATGCAAATGACTCAGTCACATTATACTGAATAATCTTGAATCTGCTCTGATTATGTTTTAAAAAGTGAATCAAGTATGAACATTGATGTTTTTACTATTATCAGTAACAAACTACCTAGCAAGCTTCTTAATATAGTATCTAATATATTATTGTTTCTTCTTTAAATATAATGGCAAGTAATGTTGGTACTTCCTTTCTAGAAAGTCTTTTCTCCTCTCTGTAATATGAATTTCATTGTTGTTCTAGTTCATGTTCTGTTTTCCTGATATACTTTTATTTATGCTCCTTCATTTGACATTTCCATCAAAATGATTCTAGTTTGGGTTCCTTTCTATTGTCTCATCACTTTCCTGAAGAGCAAAATTCAGTTATTTTTGTTATTATGTTGAAATTGTCACATGAAGAGTTTTCCTTTTGTTTTATGTTTCTATCTCATTACTCTTTGTTGCCACAGAATCATATGTTTATTTACTGTTTCTGTGAATGAACAATATAGCATTAAACAACAGATTAGATAGCATATAGATATTTCTTAATTGCATGAACCCTTTTCTATAGTGGGTGGTAAGCCTAACTTTAATACGCAATTCTGTATAGATAATTCTTAAGTATATCAAATTACAGACATTTCCATGTTCTTCTTGAGCACTTTGCCTTCACCGTGCTATAGCAGATACTGTTGGTTCACTGCCTAGACCTCCTGTACTGGCTGGTGATCCTTTCAGTGAAAAATTGCTTTGGCTAAATAGGAGGTACCTTTCCAGGGAGAGAATGTGCTCTCCCCTATTACTCCCCTCCAGAAGGGGAGAGCAAGCCAATGATACATGCAGTATAAGTTGGGATCAATTCTGTGTTATAATTAGTGCTTTCCCCTGTGTAGTTAGGTAGAAGCTGATCTATGAATCTGATCCCATTCTTGCTTGGCTTTTTTTCTCCTTTCCTATAGTATCTTTTCTCAGAGTAATCCTCCAACAAGTTAATTTGAACAACAATCCCTATCTGGGCCTCAGCTGAGAATACGATTTAAGATGCACATCCAAATTTATTTCATCAACTTCTCCTTAAATACATTTTCTTTCTGTATTTGCAGTGTTTGATAAATGATACTATTTTATTACCCTCAATTAGAAATCTCACCTATTCCTGTGTAGAGTTATTTCCCAGTTTCTTTTTTTTTGTTTCTGAACATCCTTTTATTCTTTCAAGTTATCAAGGACAATGTGAGAATTGCTAACAGGATTCATTGTAATGAATGAGTCATTGTCCTTAGTCTGTGTTTTTATTTTGATCATGAAGTTCAGTCACTTATGTTTATTTGTGTTGAGTGGGCAGGGGTGGCATTTAGGTTGATGAGGGGAATAGCAGGTGGTAGGGATCAGCCACTGAATGATGACAGATATTTTGCAGTCAAATAAGAATAAGTAGAACAAGTGGAGTCTGTAGGACTTGAAATATAAGTCCTTGTTCATTTGAAGAGGGAGCATCTGGTACAGCTATCACAAGATGGTTCTAGAGATATGATTACTTAGCACTTAGGATAAGTAAAATCAGATGCCAAGTGGAATTTATCCTAAAATATATCCAATCAGAATTATATTTGCAATTATGAAGATAAGGTGATTATAAGCATTTCATTGATTTCAAAACAAATTAATTTTATAACAACAAATGGAAACAGCAAAAATCATGTAATAATTGTCATATACATATTATATAAGTATACATATTATTATATAAGTATACATATTATATATTATTAAATATTGTTAAGATATTTTATAATCAGGATGAAAATAAAATTGTAGGATGTTTTCAAGTACACATACTATTTATATTCTCATACTTAACAGTGTTAATCTTAGTTTTAGGAAATTTACTCCTACTTTGAGGCAGTGAAATTGACCAGTTTTCAGAGTCCAAAAGATTCTTGAATAGTAAGGTATTTTAGAGGATTTTTAGTACTGGAACATTTCGGCTAGCCTGAAATCCAGCTATTATGTATCAAGGTCTATTTGTTGATTCCCTGTCATATACTCTATGATTCTCCATGTACCTCCTAAAAGAGACTGGTTCTTTAACTGTCTTTATATTGATGCCCTGAAAATCTTCATTTCTATCTAGGGTGAGCCTGTCACTTTCTGTGAGGAAAGTTTTGTAAAGCATCGCTCAAGTGTGATGAAACAGTTCTTGGAAACTGCTGTTAACCTTCAACTTTTTAAGCAGGTAAGAGTGGATCTACACATTTTTAGTCTGTAACAGAACATTGTCATTTTTGCACATTTTCATCATCCTGAAACTGTGTCCTAATCCTGAGTAAAGTCTTTTCTAGCATTTTATGATTTTTTTAAACTCAGTAGCTAGCTATGACCTAGCAGTCCAGAAATATTATGTAATAACTTTGCTATTAAAAGGAACTAATGAAAAAATTGCTAAGCTCCAGGTTTCACTGAGGAAGGGCATATATCCACAAAAGAAGACACAACATGAGTAGTTTTTAAGCAGGGAATGTGAGGAGGAGTTATTTTGGAATGGTAGATTGATATGGTAAAAAATAACTAGGATAGTCTCAGTGTTTCTAGTTTATAAAATAATTTACAAAATGAATATTTAACTAACCTTTTAAGCTTTGTAAAAGACTTTTCATAATTATGAATTTAAAATTTAGGGGAAAATTATGGTTATACCATATGTCCTGATTTTCAGTTCAGAAAATATAATTTCCATTTCAAAAAAGTTGTAGCTTGACATCGGAATTCAGAAATTTTGGTATACTAGTTTTTTCATCTCATTATACAGTCGTAGCAAGTCTCTTAAGCTTTGTTGTCTTAGTTTTGGTTTACATAATTTAAGTCCTTAAAATTTGCATTTCTTCTTTGAAATGACAATTTTAAGAGTAACGTTGATGTTGTGAATTTAGTGTTAATGAAGAACAGTGGTATGTCAAATAGTACTTAAGCAGGATAAAAATATGTAATGCCTTGGAGGAGCTGATGACTCCAATAGTAATTTTTTTAGACTCTTGGGGGGAAATTCCTTATAGCTTAAAATATTCTTCAAAATAAGTCAGTAAAGAAATCAGCATGGCAACAAATTAATATATTATCTATATTCTATGGAAATTTTAAAAATAATCTGAGATTTGAAAGTATTTAGAATAATATAACTGTCTTTTAATATATAAAGGAAAGGCTTTCTATATATAAACTTTTAGGATCATGTATTTCAGGACCAGAGATGTCTTGTTATTTTCCAAAGATATAGTTGTATACTTTGGAGTTACCTATACCTAGATGTATCCAAGCATATAGTGAATTACTTCCTAGGGTTATAAGGAGGATCAAATAATAGTGCTTTATAAGTGCTGAAGAATATAGTACAGTGTATTCCCAAGTTAGTCATCCAGTATGGGCTTGTTGAATTAAATATTAATGTGCCCATTTTTGTATCAAGAAGATATACAACTTTCTTAACTTTCTATTATCAAGAATGAGTAGTGAAGATCAAATTGTTAAATGGGTCAAGGATTGAATGGGTGGGTAGACTATATAACTTGCTACTTTTGAGTAGAGATTCTGTAACTGGATTATTACCACTTAATAAGTTAATAAAGTATGGTAAATTTTATTACATAGTAATTTTTAAAAAGCATTTATAAGAATCATGTAGAGTTGGGTTAGATACTTTTCACTTAACAGATGATTGTGCATAAGTGCATGTTTATTTTCCTTTAAAATACAAATATTGCCACCTACCTAACAGGGTTGTGATAACATTTATGTGTGCTTATATATACACTCAGCATAGTGGTTGACACCTTGCAGATGCTCAGTGAGAATTTATTGTCCTTCTCATTCTTAGAGGAAATACAATAACATAATCCAAGTCTATGTGGGATTATTTTTAAATTAGTAAAATGAAAAGGCTAAATCTAAAAAATGAAAATCGTCAATGAAAGTAAAATCCATTTTGTGGACAACTTGAATAGTTTTGCATAGACAAATGTACCATTTTTAGAAGTTGATACCATTTTATGAATCTTAAGAAAGTGATTCTTAAAGATAGCCCTGAAAGTATTTAAAAGAGTCTTGTTGACAGAGTTTTATAAACTTTTCTAAAAGAAAAGTCAATTGGTAAAAAATGTATCAACACAGATGGATCTTCAAAGATTATACTTAGAAATTGCTGAAGGAATATAAAAATTTACTAGGTACAAGTGATTACTATCTATAATAATGATTTTATGATCCATGGAAGATCTAGAATCGGTGTCTCTTTTAGCATGTTAATGCTTCCAGTTTGATAGAACTTGAACCCAGGAGAGCAACATACAGTTTTAAAGAAAGAATTAGAGTGAATTTTTATTTCTGGTAATATGTCAGAGTAGGTTGAGAAATAACTTGTTTACTCAAGCAATTTAAAATGTAGGAGTTGAAAAATATTTTGTCGAAAGGAGGCACAGGAGACAGAGCTCATGGGTCACTTTTTCTGGGTAAGAAGTATAATAGAAGAACTTACTTCCAAAAATCTGGGAGGACTTCATGTAAAAGTAAACAGGAAATAAAGGTACCTTTTCCTTTCACTTATTTCCTGGGTATCTGAAAGGAGACTAAAATTTCAAAAGAATTTTCACTATTAAAAATCATACAGGGAATCAAATCATGAGTAATATTAAAAGTAACAGAAACTGACCACGACTTCAAATACTGGAATTATCAGAAATAGAATATGACATATCCATGTTTAAGATGTTGAGAGAAAAAAAATCAACCTTTAATAAAGTTGTTCAGAAACAACTTTAAAGGATATAAAACCAATTTTAAGAATACAGCAAATAATTAGTGAAGCATATAATAATTGAAATTAAAGGAAATTGTTGGGTTTAATTGCAGATTTGTCTTAAATGAAGAGAGATTTAAGGAGTTGAAGATATATCTGAAATAGAAATTATCCAGAATATGGTACAGAGACAAAGAAATAGAAAATATAGTGAGATAATAGACATGGAGAGTCTAGAGTAATTCATATAATCAGTTCTAATAGGTAAAGACTAAAAACAGAAGGGAGAAAATAAATGAAATGACTTCACTAGAACCAGTGAAACACTCTATTTTATGGATTTAAAAAGTCCAACATATCCACACCAAGCAAAGAAAAAGAAATCTAATATATTCAATTACAAAATATTAAAGAGGGAATTTTTTAAAATGATAGGAGAAAAAAAGATTACCTTCAAAGGAGAACTGTACTGACTAAACTAACTTCAAATCAACAACAATGAATATAGATGATCCTGGCCTGATATCTATAACATGTTTAGAAAAAAAATATGTAGAGTCGTATACCAGTTTAAACACCTTTTAATTACACAAAGGATGTGAAGGCATTTCTCAACAAAACCCAGGTTTGCCCCTTGAGCTGGTTTTATTGATATGTCTACTTGAGTAGGCCACTGTCCCCACTTTACTCATACATTAACTTAGGTTTTGTGATGAAGAAATATTATAGATATAACTAAAACCCCTAATCATTTGACTATAAATAATAAAGATTATTGTTATAACCTGACTGGTGGATCAGTCTGAATCACTAGGAAGTCATTAAAAAGAGGACTAAGGAGTCCATGAGAAAAGAAGAGAGAAAGCTATTCCTTAAGAATGAACTCATATAAAATTGGAAGAGGTGTGTGTCCTAAAAGATGCATCAATATCAATAAGAAATACAAGAAACATAAAAAAACAAGGCAACATGATTCCTTTAAAAGTTCACAACTCAGTAGTATCTGATTCCAAAGCAGGATGAAATTCCAGACAAAGAATTTAAGTAATTATACTAAAAATGATCATTTAATTCAAAGCGAAAACTAATAAAAAGCTGGATGGTTTAAGGGAAACAATGCAGGATAGAAAAGAGCAGTTTAGTAAAGGAGAGCGCTTCTAAAAAAGAACCAAAAAGAAATTTTATAGATGAAAAACTCAATAAATCAAATGAAAAGTCTCACCAAGAGTAGATCAAAAAGAAGAAAGAAATCAAGCCTTCAAGACTTGGGTGAAGAGTTATCATATTTAGAAAGTAAAAAATAAAAAGAAAAGTAAGAATAAACAAAACCTACAAGGCCTATTTATGATTAAAAGCCAGGTGTGAAATCATGATGTAGAAGAAGGAACAGAAGAACAGCCTTGATATTTAGTGAAATAATAGCAGATTCTCTAATCTTGGGAAAGATATGATCATCCAGGTATAGGAGTTATTTAGAACTTCAAATACACATGACCGGAAAAGAACTTCTCCACATTTATTGAACTTCCAAAATTATAGAACAAGGAAAACTACAGAAGAGAAATACTTACAAAGGCAAACATATCAGAATAATAGCAGATTTCTCTAAAGAAATTTGGAGGGCCTGAAATGATAGATATCAAGCTCTAAAAGAAATAACTGCAGTTCTAGATTACTATATCCAGTGATGTTATCCTTCACAACTGAAGAAGAAATAAAGTCTTTTCAAGATAAACTAGAGGAATTAATGGCCACTAAACCAGAATTACAGAAAATACTTAAAGGAATTCTACACACAAAAGAGGAAGCAAGATAAACACAATCATGAGAGCATGAGAAAGAATACATCTCCTTAAAAGAGTAGAAAAACTAATAAGAATTAGGAAAGAATAAAATATTATTACTTTATTAGATCATTAGACTTCTAAGATGAATAAAGGAGGTTGTTCCAAACAACCAGAAGAAAAACATAGAAAGAGATAGGCCCCAATACAAATGACAGGAATTTGTCCATACCATTCAATAATTATCCTGAATATAAAAGGTCTTAATTCTTCAATTAAAAGAGGCACACTGCCTAATTGAGTTTGAGTTTAAATAAAAATTAAAAAAAACAAAAACAGAACCTGACAATCTGCTGGACGCAAGAAACTCACCTCAATGGCAGACATACAGATACTAGAAGTGATAGAAAGTGAAGTTTCAAATAAGTGAAAACAAAGCAAGAAAGACTAGTTATACTCATATTTGGCAAAACAGACTTTAAGTCAAAATAAGAGACAAAGAAGGTTATTCCATGTTTACAAAGCAAACTGTCCATCAAGAAGATATAATGTTGTAAATATAAATGCACTAAATATTAGAACACCCTCAGATTTATAAAACAAACGTTACTGAACATAGAAAGAGATAGGCCCCAATACAATAATAGTGGGCAACTTTGATAT